TACCAACTTATTTTCCGGCTTGACATGCACTACATAGCTTATCCTTCTCAAATGTGACATCTTTCAAGCCTCTAACTAAGTCATGCATAATCAACTTGTTCAATTATTTCATTCCAACATGACCAAGCCTTCTATGCCATAACCAACCCATGCTAGACTTAGTGATCAAACATGTTGTCAATTGAGCTTCTCTAGCATTGAAATCAACCAAGTATAGATTTTCATATCTAAATCCTTTGAATATCAAGTTAGAGCCATCTACACTTATAATATCTACATCATCCACACCAAATATGCACTTGAAACCAAGATCACACAATTGAGCTATCGACAAAAGGTTGAAGTTCAAGTTCTCTACTAGTAGCACATTGAAAATGCTCAAGTCATTGGATATTGCAATCTTACCAAGCCCTTTGACCTTGCCTTTGCCACTGTCACCAAATGTGATACTATCAATCCTATTGCTCTTGTTTTCATTGATTGAATTGAACATTCTTGGATCACCGGTCATGTGTCGTGTGCATCCACTATCAAGCACCCAATGCCTTCCTCCGGCTTTATAATTGACCTACAAAAGAAGATCAATTTTTTTTAGGTACCCAAACTTGCTTGGGTCCTTATAGGTTAGTTACCAAGGTCTTTAGTACCCAAATGGCCTTCTTCTTTGGGCCCACAATTGGTGTACCAATGAACTTTGCCTTCACACCATTGGCACCCTTAACAAGCATGTAACAAGAATCAAATTTAATTAAGGATACATTAGATAGCTTGTTCTTGTTAATCTTGCAATATTGCTTTATATGCCCAACTTGCTTGCATTTATTGCAAAACCGACAATTGCCCTTCACAAAGCTAGCTTTGGGAGTGACAAAGGTCGCCTTGCCTTTCTTGGGGGTATAGCCTAATCTCTCTTTATTGAGAGAAAACCTTTGGCTACCCAAACACTTTAGCAAGCGGGCATCTCCACCATAGGCATTGCCTAAGGCACGAGTGAGCTCATTCACCTCCTTCTTGAGGGTCTCATTTTTCACCATTAGTGAGGTATCACAAGTGAGACCATCACTCAAAGGTGAAGTAGAAGTAGTAGTGCTATAAGAAGTGTTAGTGGGAGCAACTACAATGGGCTTATAAAAAGATTCATCAATAAGATCACATGTTAGTCCCACATCACATGATACAATCACTTGCTCCTTCTTGGCTTCCTCCATTTTGACTTTCTCAATGAGAGAGGAGTGAGCCTTTTCAAGCTTAGAGTGAGCTTTGCCAAGCTTCTTATGGGCTTCCATTAGCCTCTCATGAGTGGCATTGAGCTCATCAAGGGATTGCTCAAGAAATTTGACTTTCTTGTTCAATTCCTTGCACTCCTTTCTCTTTATCTCAAAGCAAGTATGCACTTGCTCACACATGTCCATGAGCTCCTCCTTGGAGTATTCCTCATCATCATCATCATCACTCCTACAAGCATCACTTTCACATTCATCATCATCACTCATATCATATTTTATCTTGGTAGGTTTTGCCATGAGTTTACGGGATGCAAATGAGTTTTTCTTCTGCACCATATTGGCAGCGGAAGACTCAACTCCCTTTCCACGGTTGTCTTTTGCTCTTGCCCTCTTCTCAACATCAAGGGATCCGATAAGTTTAGCCACGCTAAACTCATGTCTCTTGTGTTTTAGAGAAGTAGCAAAATCCCTTCAAAAAGGTGGCAGCTTAGCGATTATACCGCTGACCACAAACTTGTCCGGCAACAAACATGGGAAATGTTCTAGTTCCTTTGCTAGCGCCTATATCTCATGAGCCTGTTCGACCATAGAACGGTTTTTAACCATTTTGTAGTCATACAGCTGCTCCATAAGGTACAGCTCACTACCAGCATCAGAAACTCCAAACTTTGCCTCAAGAGCATCCCATAACTCTTTGCCTGATGTGCAAGATATGTAGTTTTTCTCATACTTGGGATGAAGTGCACTAATCACAGCTCCTCAAAACAGGTTATCGACAGCCAAGAACTTTAACTCCTCCTCAGGAGTGAACTGTTCAGGCTTCCCCTGTGCGGCGTGATTGCAGTTCATCGCAGTCAACCACAATACCATCTTTGCATGCCATATCATGAAATTCTTGTCATCAAAATTATTTAGCTTCAAAGCAGCAGTAAAACCACTGACAGAAAATTGCCTAACATTAGGTTTTTGGATTGTTAGAAAATTAGGCATTTTCATAGTCAATTTAATCCAGAAAAATAATATCAGCAAGTTCGTGACGACATATATGTGCATGTGTATATCTCTAATGAACGCTAGAGCATGCAGAGATGACATACAGATGGATACAGTAAAAGTATAAAGTATAGTAATCATAGAGATTAGATTGTACCCAGCGGAGGATCCCATGCCGAGGGCATCGGAGGCTCCATTCGCACTAGTCGACATAGTGTGTTGCTCGTAGTCGCGGACCAGTCGGTGTAGGACGATGTTCGCAGTGCAGTCCCACGAATGGATCACCAGGAAGAAGACACCTTGCTGTTCCGCAGGCAATCACCGGGAAGAAGACGGGTTCTGAGAGCGATCACCACCAGGAAGAAGGCGTACGTGGACGAGTAGTCGTGGATTGCTCCCCAAAAACCTAATCGCCGCACACCCCGTGCAAGGTTCTCAGGCAGACGAGGGTTCCGGAGGCACCTACTCTCCCGCTACTCCGTGCACGTATAGGTACGGGATGGGGAAGCCAGAAGGCTGCTGAGATATGGTTTCTCTCAGGAGTGGTTGCAGAAGACAGACGACAGAGATCTAGACTGACGGAGGACTACGGATATATGGCTGCGACCGGGAAGGGAGAAAGACAGCGGAGAATCCCAGGAGACGGAGAAGCGGAAGCAGAAAAGACGGTAACTGACGCAATCAGTTCGCCTCCACCATCAAAGGGAGTAACTCCCGTGATTATGTGGATTAAGTGGCAAAAGATTGGCCACGCCCGCCCGCTCGCTCGCCGCCCACCCGCCTGGCTGCCTCGCCTCGCCACGCCACGCCACGGCCACGGCCTCGGCCCAGCCCGACCTGCGCCCACGGCCACGGCCACGGCCTGGCCCGGCCGGCGGCGGCGGCACGCTTATGTCCTTTTCTCAGCTTCTCAATTTAGATGAATAATTTCCAACCATATAAGCTGAGTCAATGTTTAGTCAAAATCCCGTAAGGTATTAAACCATGCAACACTTAATGTTACGTACCATATAGTTTTATTTGATTTATTAAATATTGTACGAGCCAAACCCATAATATATCCAATAGTTCCATGCCGCGATAGGGCTGCTTGAGCTGAAGAAGCACTATGGTGGTGGAGGAGGAGGATGGTGGTGGTGGTGGTGGAGGAGTAGGAGTAGGAGGTGGCGGTGGCGGAGGAGGCGGTGGCGGTGGAGGAGGAGGAGGAGGAGGTGGAGGTGGAGGTGGCGGAGCAGGCGGTGGCGGAGCAGGAGAACCGGCAAGTTAAAAATCAAGAGCTATAATATTCTTTAGGAAAATTGGAAACGAAGCCACAGAAAAAGCCACGTCGAGCTTCAAAATATTTATAATTTTAAATCGGAGTAATACATGGACACCTTAATTAAGAATTTAAGATGTAATCATTGTTTATATCGTAGGTTTGTCTTTTTCCTCTCTTTTTCACTTTTATAATTATTACAAGAGGTCACGAGTGCGCATACCAGTACCCTTTATATGTAATCTTTTGGAGTGTACCTGATGATTTATTATGTGTTTGGTTTAGAGGATGAAGAGGGATGGGAATATGGGATGGGGTGAGATCTTATATTTTAATATTTTTGGTTTAGGCATAATAGAGGTAAGGTCCATTCCCAGCCCTCTAGCCCTCTGGGAAAGATTTAGGGTGTATTCCTTCAATTAGAGGATGCTCAAGGACAAGCCCGTCCCTTAAAAATAAGGAGGGGTTCTCATGCGACCGCACGAGCAATTGCGGCCGTGCATGCCGAGCGCCAAGGCAGCAAACCGCGGCGAGCTACATCAACGTAGGGTGATTGCAGGTGGGTGTATACTAGTGCGGAGCTGAAAGGACCTAGATGACTAGAGAGTGATGAATAGGCTATAAAAAATTTTCTCTACTATGTACAAACACTAGAGAGCAAGATTGTTAGTAAAATAACAAGTCCTCATGGCAACTACTTGCACTAGCTCTAGTTTCACCCAAGCAAGTCCCTACACAATTTTAATGGCTATTAAGTGCTGCACTATAGCACTGCCCCACACAAGAACCACAAGATAACAAGGCTACGCTAGCTAGCTAAACAAGAGAGCAACTAACAAGCTACTCTAGTCAAAACATCATATAATTTAGAATGGAAGGAGCAGTGTTGTTTTATTCTGCAAAGAGTTCCTTTAAATACAAGAAACCAACATTATATATTTACAATCAACTGGGGATCGATATAATAGAAAAATAGTTACCTCTTCCAAGTCCGAGATTATTACATGATAACAATTATTGTATTGCGTACGAGGACTGGTCTCTTAGGTACAGATAGAAACCAGAAAGAAATACTATTCAGTGTGCATCCAGAAGACACAAATGGATGAACAGTACAGCCGATAAATTTGACATTATCAATCAACAACGTAAGGCAACAGAAAAGCATGGCATCTAGGCAAGAATGAATCAAATTATTATTTTTAAGAAAAGTAAAAGAAAAAAAAGATAGATCAAACTCTTGTTCTACAGTGAGGTAGCCTTGAGTCTTGAGTCTTCATCTTGGAGATCGAAGAGTGAACATTTTTTTTTTTTCAAAAAAAGGGGAAAAAGAAAGAATAAATCAAACCCTCATGCTGTACATAGTAGTTAGTCTGCATCTAGGCAAGAACGAAACAAATTGTTTTTGTTTGTGAAGAAAAGGGAAAAGAAAGAAAGAAAGAATAAATCAGACTCTAATGCTACTGTAGATTCATACTTGTAGTCCTGTACAGGTCGCAGGCCAAGAAATTGTCCATGCATCATCAAGCTCTCACGTCGGAAGCTCCTTCTTTGACGCCATGGGCACCGAGGCGGCTGGAGGACCTGGACGCCCGCAACGGGGCCGATCGCGGCGTGTCGTCGTCGCCGCCGGGCGGCGTGGGCGCGGCCCTCCGCGAGCCGAAGCTGATCTGGCGCGCAAAGGCCACGACGGCCTTCGCCCACCTCTTGATCTGGCCCTTGAGCTTCCCGGCGTCCACGTCCTTCAACGGGCCCGGCCCGATGCTGAGCTCCAGCCCCGAGAAGCAGCGGTCGTACCGCGCCGACTTCTGCTTCCTGCTCCTGCGGCTACCGCCGCCGCCGCCGCCCCTGGCCAAGTCGCCCTCCTCCTCCCTCACCACGGCGCCGTCGCCGTTTTCATGTCCCTCGTTGCCGCGCCGCGCCGGCAGCGACTTGCTGCCCACCGACATGGACGACGTCGCCGCCGGCCACTCGCTGGCTATCTGCTATCTGCGGCCGGGAAACTTATCCGGCCGGTTTCGTCTGTGACTATAATTTGTTGTAGCTTCTGAGAATTGGCTTTCGTGTTGGCTAATGGAATAGCAAGGCGCGCGTTATATAGCTCGCTCGCGAGCAGCTGCAGCACGCGTGCGCGTGAGAGGGCGCAACAAGCACTCGGTCGCCGAGGCGGCTTTGCCTGCAGTGCAGTGACGTGCGTGGTACTCCAACCCATGGCTCACCGTGTAGTGTAGTATTTGCTGATGTTGATGCGTAATATATATATTTTCTCTAAAACTTATCCAGATATATATTACTCCCTACCTCTGTTTAAATTAAAAAAATATAATTATCACTTTTAAGAAGTCAAATAATTTTAAATTTAATCGAATATAGAAAAATATTAACATTTATGATAAATAGATAAATATTAGTATTAGATTAAGCATATAATATAATTTTATAATATCTCTACTCGGAGTCATAATTTTTAATAATACTTTTCCTCAGTCAACCTTACATAGGATTGCATCCTTTTCTCGAGGTATCACAATTCGCTGCGACCGCGGTCAGGAAACTTAGCGGGTCATCTTTAATTGTGTAAATGATTATCTTTGAAGTAATTGCTTCTTCTACGCTTCCATAAACCCTTTTTCTTCGAAAACAGGTATCATGCTCTATTGAAATGAATCGCGACATGTACAGTGTAAAATCCAGGGAGGTTGGGAAACGAAAAGATTTAACTGCCAAAAAAAAAACGAATGCTTCACGGGGGCAATTATTTGCATGGTTCCAAGGTGTCCCTCCAGAAAATTTATCCGTTGCTGTCACTAAACTATATCTTGCAAAACTTTTGAGATTAATTATATGCTGTATATGTAATAATATACTCCGTCCGCCCCTATTGGTTCTTTTATCTCAAAAAAGGCACATAATTTTTTGGATGTATTTCATCCAAATCACAGCAGTCAGTGACTTCAAATTTTGCCTATATATTACTTCTTTATGTACGGAATCTGAATGCTTTAGAATGATTCTCATATATTTATTTTGTTTCAGAAAGTTTCATTAGAGCGTATTTTTGTTATGTACCATGCATAAATACATTACCGTAACAATAAACGTTCAAAATTGTGTTCTAGAGATTAATTACGTGTAACTAGAGAAATGCAGTATATTCGTATTGACTAGCAAAGATGCATGTCCTAATGTCCGGGCACACGGGGCATACAACTTATTGTGCCGTCGACCGACGACTTGGTTAACGATCATGTCATACATTCCGATTTATTTTGGAATCGAGCGTTGTATTGCGCTACTCTCACTGCTACAGATTTGGACATCACTGTCGACCTTATCACTGTCGAATTTTAAAAAAATCGACAGTGATAGACCATCACTGTCGGTTTTTGGCTAAAACCGACAGTGATAGGACCAACCGACACTGATATTCGGGTATTCACTGTCGGCTCATATCACTGTCGGTTTTAGCCAAGAATCAGCAGTGATATTGGGTCATCACTGTCGGCTTTAGCCAAAGCTTGAACCAACACTGATACTGTCACTATCGGTTCGTAGCTTGAATCGACAGTGATATGCTGCAAGAAAATTTCATAAGTTTCTCATATGATGTTCGATGAAGACGAATTTTATATAAAAGTTGTAGTACTTAACGAGATCTACAACTTTGTAGTTCAAACTTTTTTAATTTGAGATCGTTTGGATGTCCAAATATTTTCATTTAAAATAATTTATCTAACGAAAATTACGTTTGATTTCTAAAATTTAAAATTTGAATTTTTCAAACGGACTCAGATGGAGAAACGTCCAAAATAAAAGTTGTAGATCTCGAAAAGTTATGCAACTTTATAGTTGAAAACTTTTTCATTTGAAATCATTTACTACTTGAAAATGCTGTTTAAAATTAAAATTTAAAATTATTGAAGAACTCTTACTTTTCTTTTTAATGTATGGCTAAAACTTGTAACTAGTCTCTCTTCCTTATACTAACTTCAAATTTGATGATTTTTTTTTCTAAAAATTTCTAAAATTATGCTCTATCAATTTATTGTGTTCTTACCGCTATTATTTTATCCATCTTTTCATGTGACTGTGTTTTATCTATTTGAATTTTAAATTTTAAAAAATGGCAACTTCAAATGTCATGTTGGAACACTAAATGATTTCAGCTGAAAAAATCATAAACATAGAAGTTGTAGAACTTATCAAGATCTACAATTTTTATTTTGGTCATTTCTTCATCCGATAAAGTGGTAATAATATTGTTCATAAAATTTACATATCTCTCTTATAGTTTCATAAACGATAAGAGGAATATGCAACATTTGTGAACAATGTTAGTACCACTATGTTGAATGAATAAATGATCAAATGACCACAATACAAGTTGCAGATCTCGGAAAGTTATGAAACTCTGTAGTTGACAACTTTTTGATTTGAAATCATCTTGTCAAGGAAAATTACGTTTGAATTTCTAAAATTTGAAATTTAAATTTTGTAAACGACCTCGGATGGAGAAACTACCAAAATGAAAGTTGTAGATCCCAAAAAATTATGAAACTTTGTAATTGATAACTTTTTTATTTGAAACCATCTTCTCAAGGAAAACTACGTTTGAATTTTTAAAAATTTGAAATTTGAAATTTTTAAACGACCTTGGATGGATAAACAGCAAAAACGAAATTTGTAGATCTCAAAAAGTTATGAAACTTTGTAGTTGATAACTTTTTGATTTGAAATCATCTTGTCGTGGAAAACTACATTTGAATTTCTCAAATTTAAAATTGAAATTTTGTAAACGACCTCGGATGGACAAACTACCAAAATAAAAGTTGTAGATCTTGAAAAGTTATAAAACTTTGTAGTTGACAACTTTTTTATTTAAATTCGTTTAGAGTCCCAAATACTCATTTCAAAATTAGATAAAAATAAAAATGTCTAGACGAAAATCTCATTTGGACACAAAAAAAAACTTACAGGTGGAGTGGTTAAGGCCCGAAGACCCAAAGCAGGACGACAGGGGTTCGAGCGCCGGTGGCCGCGAAGCACGCGTTTTTTGGGCGAAAAATCGCTTGACTTGTGACTTGTGTCTTGCCACGCGTGACCGTGTGGCTGTCCAGTGGGGCCTCTCCCGATATTAAAAAAAAATTCCTTATTTTTTCAATGAATTTTTTGGCTTTCCTAGAAACCACATCACTGCCGGTTCACATCACTGAACCGATAGTGATGTCAATCCCACATCACTACCAGTATACCACTGTTGGTTCAAAATCCGATAGCGAAGGAGTTTTTTAAACCGACAATGATGTTAAGATCTAGGAGATTTAGGGCATATTTGGATTCTTTACTTGCTACCGTATCGCCTCTAGCTGGGTAACGAGTTGGCTTAGATGATGTATTCGGTTCTCTAGTAAATAATGTATCGAGTCTTGTGCTTTCCAGATTTTCCTCACCAGAAAGAGCATGCCAATTCCACTCTCCTTCATGGGCAAGGTGAGGCTTGCCTAGCAAAGCAAAGTTGGCTGCACAACCAAACTTGGCCTTATTACCTGAATGCAACGGATATACGGTCTCGAGCATAGTACTGAATAGCATTAGTATCGCTTGCAATAGCAGTCGAGCGGTCCTTTACCCACGCGTGTTGTAACCTAGCGTCCGCTATTATTGTTGTTGGGCCGCTATTCGCTGTGTACACAGTTCCGATGGCAATAAAAATGTTAAGATGTTGATTTATATTATGATAAAGAATGATGAGATCATTAATTGTATCATTTTCAATTGATATGAGAACTCAATAATGATTTGTCTTCACGTGTCTTCTTTATATCTTATTTATTTATATGCTTCTTTCTAATTTTATGTCATTAAATGTAATAATTAACTAAAAGCTTATAATTATTTTAAGCAAAGATGATATTAGTATTGACATATGCTTCAATTGTGACTATTTTTTAATATTTTGATATTGCAACTTAATGTCCACTATAGCATCCATAATCCGCTATGTAGACACTAATTCACGGCAAAGCTGCTATCTGGTATTTATTACTTTGATCCTGAGAGATGATGGTGTAGACTTGGTCGAAATGATAAAAAAAACGAGGAACTAGTCCGCACGAATGGAGTAAGAGATGCTTCTGGGAATCCCAGCGCAGCACTTGTGTTGGACATGAGCTGCACCTCGCTGAGCTATCACGCGTTTGATTTTCGTTGGACTTCCAGATTCCGAACAGTCAGATCGGCTGCAATGGACAGCAGACAGCACCCATCTTGAATTTGTTCTCCTTAATTTGAGAATATTCAAGCAACAGAAGCTATAAAAAAAGTCAGCAAGGATGTTTCAACCATGATTGCGCAATCACTTAAACAGAAAGGTACAAGCAAAGCAATCTCATCTCGCCAAGAAATTTATATGGTTGATTAAACAACAACAAAGTACTTTTCCATCTTTTCTCTAACAAAAACTAACTGTATGACAGTCAGGATACAACAGAAACTATATTATATATTACTACTAGAACATAAAACGGCACATCAAAATTGGTGGATAGTGATCATGTATATGAAAGTTTTATAAAGGCTATCAATGTTCTTCCTCACCACCGTGAGTTACTAATCATGGCCCATAACTAATTAACAATTGATGACTTGACAGCTCTAGCAAAAAGGAGATGCGGCGTTACGCCACTGAATGGTGCCATAGTTCTATACATATGCCAAAACTGGTGGAAGGCTGACATGTGGGCCCAAGTCACCGCAGCCTCACATTTGGTGGTATATACATGTGAATTCGAAAATTACACAGTGGCATATATCGTAGACTTATCCAGTTTCTTCGCATTTAATTCAAGAGCACATCTTCTCGGTATTGACTACTAGTAACTCCTAGATCAGAACACGTTTTTTTCTTTTTCTTTTTGACAACTATTTGACAGATGCAGTTTCATGTGATACCTCGAAGATGTCGTCTTGTTTGACACGCCTCTGCCACCATCTGATCCTTCCCTTTTCATTTTGCTTGTTTCCTTACGCTTCTCTTTCTTATCTGCCTCTGTTTTGTTGGACTTCACACTGATAACGCTGCGCGCAGACACTATACCATTCTCTGCAGGGCCTTCTAAATTGCACTGTCATCATTATCAGCTGTTACATACTTCTGCAGAAAGTTTGGATCCCAGTAGCTTCGTTTGCGGCTCCTCACATTTCTCCTGAGTGTTTTTCTAGATGATGTTAATGAAAGTGTCAATAAGGGGAAGGAAAACCTACATGCTTGGTTTCCTGAGTGAAAAATATGATGCACGAAAACTGCATATTATTGCATTAAGGAGAAACAAAATCTTTATAGGAAGCGCAGACTCAAAATCATACACATAAATATAGTTTGATCTAGTATACTGGATTGTAACTTTGGTTTGTGCTTAATTTTACTTGATTTTCAAAAAAAAAAAAAAAGTATAACCATACAAATTTTATGACTACAGCAGTGAGCTACTAGCACGCCCATCATTTGGCCATGAACCATGATGCTAACTTCGAATTGTAACTGTTACATGGAACTATGAAGTTTACAGAACGAAACTAGATGTATTTGCTTACCTCCTGTCGAGGTAAGGACGTAAGGTTGCTTCAATTTCTTTTCCTGCAATGCTATGAAGGTCGTGATATAAACTTGTGTGAAAGGATGGGGACAAGATCCAGAATCTGCAATACCAAAAGCATTGACGCTTGGAACAGCATATACGCGATCTTTTGCATTAGGCCATTAGATAACTGTGTTTCTTACCTGATGATACTCAGCTAAATTGTTGGAATTGGCATCTGACGGCTTCATGCCATGCAGCAGTATGATGATACTTCAGCTGCGCGCGCTGAGCCACAGGGACCGAAGATGGCCGTGCAGCCAAGCGCTTGCTCGCGCGAGTTGAAGTCATGGCCCCCTTCAGGTCCATGGAGCTTATGCGCGAGTTGGACTTCATCAACAGCCAGTCATCGGCGCCGGATGCAGCATTAACTGCATATGTTGACCTGTTGTATTGTATGCTGATGATCTCCTAGAGTAGGCCATCAAGGCGATCAGGGCGGCCACTCAGCTGGGCAACAAGAAACTGTCCCAGGTCCTGGCAGCCATGGCTGCAGAGTCAGGTGCAGTGGAGATGGAGGTTCCCTGAAGAGGATGATGCGGTTTTCAGTTTGCAACTGTGTTTGGAAAATCAATGTATACTAGTTTAGCGCCGACGCCGGCTGGTCTTCAACCGGTGAAGTTAGGTTTGCTTTCAATCGCAACGTGGTGTCAGTGGTGTTTGATTTGGTGGTTGTTGTTGTTGTTGATCTGGCTGGGAGCCTCTGAAGATACCCAGGCTGCGCTTCCCCTAGAAATATATGGACCAACAGAAAATGTTGACAAACTAATGAGGGACTTCAAAAGAGCTCTGGACACTAGTGAACTGTTTGAAATCCGGTTGCAGAGAAGATTCACTTGGAGCAATGGGCAAGCCAACCCAACTATGGTTCACTGCCCCATTTTCCTCTGTAACTAGCAGCAACCTCCGAGACGGGTTGTGTTCAAGTTCGAACAGTTTTCGACGCGATGTCTGCGGAACTGGAGAAGAATGCTTTTCAGCGACGCTAGATTACAACGGACGCTGGCGAATGATGTGATCCTACGCCTGGATATCATGCAGGAAAGCAAGGACTCCGGCCACTACTGGTCCTTAGCAGGAGGGGCAGTTTTCAAGCCTTTAATGCCTTAATGGTCCCTCAGCTAGGTAGTGAGTAATTAGCTTTGTAAACCGAAACCCACGCAGCCTAGGCTGCGGTAGGAAGCGCTTCTCGCACATGTAACCAACTGTTGTTTGCTATCTCCTTATTATTAACAAAAGCCGGGCAAATGGATCTTAAAAAAAAACAGTATGATGATACTCAACTAAATTGTTGGAATTGGCTTCTGACGACTTCATGCCATGCAGCGATAGTACTGCTAGTCACTACCGTGGTCATTAGAAACTATACAGAAAAAAAAGAAACAATACAGTTAGATTTGCTGCACCAACATAATGTGAAGTTTGAAAATCCATACCTCATCGCAATCTTGAAATTGATATGCCCGGAAGAAGTTCCTGAGAGCCGTGTGAAACTGTGTGAAATCTGAATACGTCTCCATAGAAAAGGAGAATGTGTCGGCCTATTGGGGGTCCATGATAATATCGTCTCTACTCATCATGAGTAGTATTCCATTTGTTCTAAATTATAAAACGTTTTGATTTTTCTAGATTCATAGTTTTTGCTATTTACTTAGATATACACCATATCTAAATGTATAGTAAAAGTAATGTATCTTGAAAAACCAAAACATCTTATAATTTAGTTTCTCCTTGTCTTACCCACACCCAGCGCCGCTCTCCAGCGGCCTGGGCTTGGTGCCGCTGGCAGGCAAACCCTCCCTCAACGGGCCGCTGGGTCGCCGGCCGGGCCTTAGCAGCCATCAGCCTGTTCGTTTGCTTGTAAACGATCGTAAATTTCCAACTGGGAACAGTGTTTTTCTCTCACATCAAACCAACCAGCAGTAAATAATCCACGATACGATACGGCCTCTCGAACAGGCTGCATGTTCGGGGATGTTTCTCGGAACAACTAGTACTATGTTTTTTTTAAGGTTTTTGCACCAACTGTTCCCCGCTTTTAGAAGATTTTTGCATTGACCACTCCCGGAACAGGGAATATAACCGTTCCTTCCCACACCAAGGAACCAGGCGCCGGGCACCGTAGAATCCATACCATTGTAGATATACAGCACCGTGCACGCATGGCATATTTATACACTTTACGGCACCGGAGCTACAAAGCAGTTCACCAAATAAAAACGTTTTGAAAACGTTTGCTGCTATGGCATAGGCATGGTGATTGGTGATACATCTATAAAAACTTTCACAGCAAGAAAGCGATCCGGTTCCTCAGACGATGCATCCACAGTAAGTAACGCCGCTGAAATGATCGTATTTCGACAGAGCATGCATCCATCCACCTGAACTGAAAACCATTCTACGGAATCTGACCCCAGCTAGAAAAGCATATCTTCTTGCGTAAACTAAAGAACGATCCTGTGGTTGGCACAAACACGACCGGAGCTGATTCTAGTGCTTGATATGAATCTGACCATCGGATATGCCACCCGCAAGCAAAAACTCCCTGAGGCTGTGGACCGCGGGATCATCCTTCGAGCAAATGATCTCAACAGTCTTAAGATGCTCGCATGTAAACAGTCTATTTCCAGCCCAACCCATGAGTGCTCCAGGTACTTTAGCATGCTACAGACAGAGAAGAAACATACAAGTTTTACCTGCATGGCACATACATAAAGTTTTCATACGAGGAGAATATACATGTCACCTGTTTCAGTTTGAGACTCAGAGTTAGATGCTCCAGATTAGGTGAGTTCTGAAGGAAGGCTATCAGTCCATAGAAATTTGCATCCAGATACCAGTTGACGAGACTCAGGAACTTCAGATTGTTGAATTTCGGGCACCATTGCAAATCCATTCCCATCATCAGCTGCATGAGGTCAAAAAGATTAGGACATGACACAGAATCTATGCCATAGTCTAGAAAACTTTCTTGGTCCAGCCAAACATGAAAAAAAGAAGAAGAAATAGCAGGAAGCTAAAACTGTTGCGAAATTTCCCAGCAGAACTGTAGACTACAGTTCAGAATAGTGGACGAGAGAAACCACAAATGTCATCCACACTCTATAATGTACTATGCTTATTGCTTCAAGAGAGTCTAGAACCCTATGCTTAGAACATGTCACCCAGACTCTATAAATCACAACTGATAGATCCACTCTATAATACTTTGCAAATGTAATACAACCATTATAAAAATATTCACATGAAAATCAGATTGTGCTATGGTGGTACTTTAGACCATCAACCATCCTATAGACATGACTTGTTATTAGAATAAACTATCATACAGTTAGGTTTGCACTTACAGCACAACGACAAAATACTATTTGTAGGTCTCAGACATCAACTTATGAATACTTGCATGGATCCACCAATGTCAAACAAAGAAGCATACCTCTTCTTGTCCAAAACCAAAACAGAACTCCAATTTTGTGACACCAGAAAGGCCCAAGAGAAATTGACGGATATCATCAACCGGTAAATCATTGTACTTAAGCAGATCAATGTAAGCTGTCTGTAGTGATTCCATGTTCTTCACTAAAGGTATTCTGTCACCATCATAAGCCAAATGATCAAAGAAGCCAAGATGAATCAGGTTTGGAAGAGAGAGAGATGGCTGATGTGCCGGATCATAAGGCCTAGGGTGAAACCAACAAATATGCCCGATGGACAAGAACTTGATTGTCTGGGAGGCAATCTCAATGTCATTGATGGGGCATTCCTGTAAGATGAGACGTTCCAGTGTCTTGCACCCATTTTGGAGTTGCTTAAAGAAACCGTTGGTCAAAACAACTGAGTATAAAAGCAGGCTCGTCAGGTGCTCTGAAGTAAAGACTGCAGGATTGAGTTCCAATTTATCATGCCAGGCGAAAATCTCGACAGACCGAGCTTCGCAGAGCAAAGCGTGGCGGATCCATAGGTTAGGTTCTGCGGCGTCAGCATTGAGCCTGTCACCGTCGATGTAGTACCAGAGGCGGAATTCGTCCAAGGAAACCGGGTTACGGAGCATAAGCAGACGGTTGACGAACTCCTTGAACAGCGACCTGCCGTGGTCGTCGAGTCCGCCGCCGTCGATCTCGAACGCGGGGCACGAGGCGTTGATGCGGCGCGCGTCGCGCCAGAGGTCGCGCCACAGCTTCGACAGCACGCACGTCTGCACGGCCTCGCGCGCGTCCAGGCAGGAGAGGACGCGGGGCAGTAGGTCGCGGGGGAGGTCGTTGATCCCTGGTTCCGCCCGAGGAACGCGCGCTGGGGCCACGACCATCGCACCAGAAGTCTCTGCCATGGGCTCGGGGTCGCCAGGCATTTCGTCGAGCAGGTGGTGCTCGAACAAGCTGCAGCAAGGCGAAAATGGAGGATCACGGTGAGAGAGCCACGAATGAATCCGTAGAACGGAATGGGGATAGAAATGGAGATGGCGCTCCCAATAGCAACAGGGTAATTGAGCGGAGATTTCTGGGAAAAATCGTAGCAATCAATTTTGTTTCGTTTTTGTTTTATAAGAAGAGAAGGCAAGAAACGGAACGAACCGTGCGGTGCGCTTCCGCCCACGAACACGAAGACCTCCCACCGGTTTGCTTTGCTTTGCTTTGCTTGCCGGAGCCGGACCCCCAAAGGCTTCCACTCGGAACAAATAAACCCTCTTCCTTCCACCTCTCTAGATGGGCTGAGGTCACGGTGACACGGGTGCGTTTAGACGATGGATTCAGTCCACTGCCCATGCTTCTACCATGCATTTTCTTCTTGAACTAACAAAATATAGCAAAATTTGGAAATTAGTGAGCAAACTCTACTCCTGCCTTGCTCCGTCCCTGCCTTTCGTTCCACGCATATGCAGAATTTTTTTATACATGAAACGATTATTGTCAAGGAAGCAGGAGAAATCAAAAGCCAGATCAACATGTACACATGATTTCAGTGAGAAGGGTCATAATCACAGATGGAGATTAGGATTGAAACTGCAACAACTTAACAGTCTAATGATCTATACAAGTTTAATCACAGATAAATCCTACTCTATGCTCACCGTGTCATCACAGGCTGATGACACAGGGCAAACTCACTATCACTGTGTACACTAGCACTAGTCCAGCACTCACTTCATGCCCTTGCAGTTGCAGGTGATGGAGCGTCGTCGTCATCCTCCACTGTGAACCACGGCATCTGGAGCGCGGCCGCCGCGGTGAGCCTGTCCCTGGGGTCGAACTCCAGCAGGCCGCGCAGAACGTCGAAGCCAGCCATCGAGAGGCACTCCTCTGGCACCGCGCCCCGTAGCTGGCTCGGCGTCGAGGCCGACACGCCTAGCGGCATCAGCGACACCTCATCGGGGACGCCGAGGAGGTGGACGATCTCAGCCAAATGCTCGCACTCGCTAACCTCGACCTTGAAGATGGGCTTCCCGGAGACAAGCTCCGCCATGACGCACCCGAGCGACCACATGTCCACGGGTGTGCTGCAGCAGTCCATGTCTCCCATCAGCTGCTCTGGCGCCATGTACCCGAGCGTGCCTACGACGGGCCTCGAGGTGTCAGGGGATGGCACGGTCACCGACCTGGCGAGCCCGAGGTCGCAGATCTTCAGGACCGGGCCCCGGCCGTCCTCCTTGCCGACGAGGACATTTGCTGGCTTAAGATCGCAGTGCACGACGCCATGCTCGTGCATGATCTCCATGCCGCCCAGCAGCTGCCTCATGATGCGGTGCGCCTCGGCCTCCGTGAATGGTCGGCCGTCGCGGCGGCGCGCACCCATGACGTAATGCAGGCTGCGCCCGGCGTACTCCATGACGAGGTAGAGCTTGTCCGTCTTCCCGCCGCGCACCACCTCTCGGAACTCCACCACGGTGGGGTTCCCCGTGCACGCCGCGAGCAGCGCAGCCTCACGCAGAAGCGACTCTCCGCTGGCGCGCACGGACTTGACGGCGACCTTCTTGCCACTACGGCGGTGGCGCGCTTTCCACACATCGCCGAAGGTCCCCACGCCGATCTTGTCCAATTTCTTGTATGAGTCGACTCTGCCTATCCGAATGTTGTCAAGCGCGTCGCTCGTCTCTGGTGTGACAGTCGACGATGCAGCAGCCGGCGTCGACATTGCAGCGGCTAACGGTGCTTCGTCTCCACTGCGGCCACTTGAGGCCGATCGACAGGCCGCCTTCCGCTCGCGACGGAGGCGGCCCCTTAGTGGGAGCTATATGCAGGTGCGCTAGAGCAGAGTGTGGATGCTAACCTGTGGAGTGTTGCTTCTTTTTCCCCCCTTCTTGCTCGAGGTTTTTTTTTACAAGACTTGCTGAAGAATTGGTTTCCCCTCAGACCGACAGTGATTCAACCAGGAGGAAGTGAGAGTGAGCAGAGGTAGCGTACTTCTAAGATTAGAACTGCTTGAATCAGAGAAGCTTCTACGCCACCCGTCACGCTAGAGAGTGACAGCACGACCCCACGTCTCCCTCTCCCTGTCCCACACGCCGATCACGCCCACACGCCGTGCCCACGCCTGTGCTAGAGAGGAAGAAGAAGTCGGCGGTGGCTAGGGTTCTGGCGACGGTGAGGTGGGCGGCACGGCCGGTGGCAAGGAAGCTACGGCCGGGAGCGGCGGGGGAGGAGGCGGGGTGGGGGAGGAAGGGCGCGACTCGAGGTCGCCCGGTGGCGAGGAAGTCGCGGCCGAGGGCGGCGGGGGTGGGGGACGAATGGCACGGCTCAAGGAGGAAGAAGACGAGGAGCCGGGGTCACGCGTTCCTAGAGTGCACGACGGGTCGCGACTTAACGCTGTGGGATTTTCGCTCACCGGCCAAATTTACCAAAATTGGAGAAATTTCTTATTTTGGAAAGAACTAAATTAGGGTTAGGGGATCTGAGTCTAGAGGATCGAACTCACCAATGCCTTTGGCTGCGGCAGCGGGTACAAATGAAGTTAGCGGCGGCAGTGACTGGCTTAGTGGTAGGTATCGCTAGTGGCGATGACATGGTGGTGGCACCGCCTACCATACAAAGGCAAGATGGCGATTGAGGGAATGCTGAGATGATATACTATTGGCGCCGACAACCATATAAAGAGAAGTGGTCATCAGGCCGAAGTAAGGGAGATACCACCGGTGCGCCTGAAGTTGGAGTTGGTGGTCACTAGAGGCTAGGAAGACGCATAGTTCATATCGGGACAAATGGGTGTAGAAAAGGTACATGAATGATGGATGGATAAAAAACGCCTGGATATGTTGATACCAAATCAAGATCTATATTCGGCAAGTGTTAAATGTGTTGACACCTATCATATAGTGAATTGGCCTGAATAAATGCGGTGGATGGCTCTTTATATTCTTCTTCCCCATCACTCACCTCTCTTCTTATTTTGGCCCTATCTGTAATGGAATATTCTAGGCATCAAACTCTAAGAGTAAACGCAAAATAGTCTCTATATTATAAATACGGCCACTATAAATAGTGTGCCTTTGAAATATAAATGGACGCTTGTGACGAGAGTCAAACATAAGTCCTTGGAAGAGAGACTCCCGATCGAGAGACCCTCTGACCGACCCCTCTGGGATCGCTCGGGGCTCAAGGGCTATACCCATTAGATACACTCACGTGTACCCTCTAGCTAAGAATCAGGCAGAGCTCGACACGCCCTTCGCCTCTACTTAGGGCTCGGGGGCTCGCTAGAACCCCGGGCTCCCAACCGACGGTAGCTCGAGCCTCATCCCGAGCTCAACCCTAGCCCGAGCCAGTGCACGGGCAGGAATCCTGTGCCCCTAGCGTCATTAGCCAACTTGACGAGCGTCCAAGGCTTAGGATCTCCTCAATGTCGCCCGGACCAATTGGCACGCAATGCTGTCGCCCACTCCTCCGACAAAGTCACCCAGGCGGTGTGATAGAATAAGACAAGCATCTCCATCGGCTCTAGGGGAAGGGGGCTCTCGGGCCCACTCGTCAGCGTCCCGAGCCACGCGCCTTCGCCTCCAAGGAAGCCTCGAGAAGGCTCACCTGGTGGAGGCTAGTCCAAGCAGATAGCCCCCAGCGGTCAGAGCATTAGTGCTAGAAGAGCCGGATGACGCCTGAAGCTCCTCCGACTCCACGACAACGCCAGGGTGCACCACGCCGCTGCTGCGCCCTCCTGGACTCCGGCACACATAGACCATAGACCCAAACCTCAAACTGCCTTATACCTGACCTCCCTTAGAATATAAGGGGGAAGGTCGGCACCTAGAGGGGGGAGGTCAAACTCAAAATAGACCAGAGCACTCTGAGCTCTGCTCAGAAAGACAGCAAGCAGAGGGGAACGACCGAGCGTTCCTCCCCATGGCAATCCGGTGAGAGAGAGGAGCGTTTCTTCTTCCTCGCAGGGGAACAACCACACCGCCGACGAGCCTAGGATAGCACCGAGCGATCCCCTGCCAAATCTCTTTCTCTTTCGTTGTAACCCCTGATTTGGATTCTCTCGAATACAAAGAACAACCATTGCTGGACATAGGGCTCTGATAGCCTAACCCAGGATACATCATCATGTCTTCTCTTATGTTCTTTAGTCCACCCAAGCCACTAGAGACCCACACTCAGTGACACCTGATGAACAACGATGCTTGCCATGACAACAAACCTGCAATAGCCAGAGTGCCAGGTAGGGGAGCGCGTCAAGTGTGATCAAGGCTCTATAGTGGCCAGATCCACCCACCTCATCACCGGAGCAAACGGCGCCGCCTTAGACGGCGGCGTCCGCCTCCTCGGTGAGTTCTCCGTCATGACCAGTGCCTTCGCCCCGGTTAGGTCCTCAACTTTGGGAGCTTGGCCTACTCGCCAACTACTATGGCGAACTCCATCGGCTCAAGGAGGTCGAGCCGGTGGACAATGAGTCCCTGGCATCGTCTCCTCCACCGGGCCTCTTGGGAGCATATCTCAAGGTCCTTGTATGGTAGATCTGACTCGGTTTTGGCCTAAACCCCACCATATCGGAGCACCGCTAGATGTGTTATATGCTGGTGAATGTCCACTACCAGATTCTCACCGGCGAGGTGCTACCGCTGCCTGTCCGCTTCTGGTATGAAAGCCCTAGTTTGGTTTTGGATAATTGATGAAACCCTAGGACTAACCTTTGATCTAAGTGTATGAATTAGATGAGGTAGTCCAATCCAAGTGGTGGAGCTAGATGATAGTCATGGTGAAGGTGATGGCCACAAAGGAGATGATCAAGTGCTTCACATTTGGAAAATAAGAAAGAGAAAAAACAAAAATGGGCTCAAGACAAAGGTATATTGATAGGAGTCATTTTTGGTTTGCACTCAAGACACCATAGAGGGTGTTAGTGATTTAGGATCGATAGCCATACTATAAAGAGGAGAAATCTTTGGCTAACCGGTTATCGAGTGCCACTAGGTGACATGATTATTGCATATGCATTTAGGTACCTAGTGTGCTAACTTCGATCCTTGAAAAATGCTTTAAAAATGCTAACACACGAGCATATGAGTTGTACACACTGTGGTTAGCAACTTGGAAGCAAGGGTGAAGAGGTTGAGGAGTTAGAAAAATAAAAGGAGGAGAAAGTCAGTGACCGGACTCTACTTGCGCAGTGATCGATCAATTTTAGCCAAGTTGGCCGAGGGCGCGGCGCAATGATCGGACGCTGGACCTGACTCTAGGGTCATGTTCGGTCTAGCTCAGCAGAGTAGGTGGCTTGCAACCCTTATAGAGCTAGAGCAAAATTGCATTACGCTGTTTGTTGTACTAATCAATTGCTCTAGTGCTTCGTAGAGTTTTTAAATAGGCTATTCACCCCCTCTAGCCATATTAGGACCTTTCAAGTGGTATAAGAGCCGTTGTCACCGTTTGATTGAAGGGTTAACAACCTCGATGTCAAAAGATGGCTCAAGTTGTGTTCAACCATGTGGGGGGCAAACCACCGTTCTTTGATGGCACATGCTATGATTATTGAAAGAGTAAGATGAAGATGTATCTTGGTTCAATCAATGATCAAGTGTGGGATGTGACCGAGAGTGACTATGTGATTCTTGATCCTAACAATCTCACCAACCAAGACAAGACCAACAAGCAATGCAATACAATGGCTCTCAACACCATTTACAATGCCATTGATTCTAAGGTGTTTGAGCAAATTAAGGATTGTGAAAGAGCTAGTGAGGTGTGGAAGAGATTAGAAGAAACATATGAGGGCACACCGGCGGTGAAAAGTGCCAAACTAACATCCTCAAGGACAAGTTGACAAGCTTCAAGATGAAGGATGATGAGAGCATTCCAGAGATGTTCCATCGATTGCAAGTGATTGTCAATAACTTGAATGCTTTGTGTGAGAAGATCAATGATGATGATGTCTCTCATCGGTTCTTGATGTGCTTACCTCCAAGATTTAAGACATTGAGATTGATCATCATTAGAGGAAGATTGAAGCAACTAACCCCCAACCAAGTATTAGGTGATGTCATGACACAAGAGATATATCGTGTGGAAAGAGAAAGGGTTGATCAAGATGAGAAGAAGGATGAAGACAAGAAGAAGAAGAGTGTAGCATTCAAGGCCAGCTCATCATCCAAGAACAAGGGCAAGTCTAAGAAAGAAGAATCAAGTGAGGATGAAGATGCTAGTGACATTGATGATGAGGCCATGGCTCTCCTTATGTGCAAATTTGGAAGATTCATGGAGAAAAAGGGCTATGGTGCAAGAAAGAGAAAAGACAACAATAAGAGCAAAGATTATGTGAGAAGATGCTATAAGTGTAAAAGCAAGGATCATGTTGTAGTGGATTGTCCCTACAATAGTGACAATGATGAAGATGAGAAGAAGAAGGAGAAGAAGGAAAAGAAAGAGATGATGAAGAAGAAGATGACCTTCCAAAAGAAGAAGAAGGGTGGTGGCTATGTGGTGACATGGGATAGTGATGCTTCATCAGAAGATGATGATTCTAGTGATGATGACAAGAAGTCCAAGAAGAAGGCACTTGCAAGCATAGCCATCAACAACAAGCCATCCATATTCGACACTCCATCAACTTGCATCATGGCAAAACCTACCAAGGTAAGATATGATGTGAGTGATAATGATGCTTGTGAAAGTGATGATTGTAGGAGTGATGATGATGAGGAGTACACC